GTGTGTGTGTGTGTGTGTGTGTGTGTGTGTGTGTGCGCGCGCGCGCGCGCGCGCGTATATGTGTGTGTGTCTGTGTGTGGGAGGAGGGGGGGAGCGCGACCGTTTTTTAAAACAAATATCACCGATTTTCATTGTTATCACACAAAGTAATTGAATTATTTCATAATATTTTGAGTTTGAAAATATATTTTCAATGTTTTTAAATAAATTTATTTATCAAAATGAAATTTTTCGAGATTTCTCGAAGGTACATAAAATTGTTTTTATTTGATAAGAGATATAATTAATTACCTTTATCTTTAGCATTTAACATTACTATAATGCTTGAACTTAATTGAAAAAGTTGCAAAATAATAATCACTGATAAACTCTCTCTAAAGATAAATTATCTAATTAAGAAATATTTTTATAAATAATATCATCAGCAATTAACACGTATAAAGCGTATAAATTTCGTCCCTAAAATTTGGAACGTTAAATTAAAAAAAAGTATTTCGTTCGTAATGTCGTGTTCATAAGCAGTGAACGATGGTAGTTTCGGCAGGCAAACGGCGAGTAGTCAAACCCGTCTAAAGCGACGATCAATATGTATTACTTACAACATTGTTAAGACGCAACTTTGCGCGCACTCGTGCTGCTTAATCTTATTAAACTTAGCCGAGTTTCACGTTGGGCACGTCGCGTCTTGACGTCGTTGTTTCGGTCGTGAACGGCGATAGCGCAATCTGCATAGAGATAGCTCCATGAAAGTCCACGAGGGGTGGTCTCCGGGGATATCGCGAGAAGCGCAAGCGGTAATCTTGTTTATATATACAACATTGCGGATATCGCCGGCATGAGCCGATCGATAGTACCGTCCGATTGTCAATACCAATGTTAACATCGTACACACGGCATTATGTTCATTTCAAGTTTTAAGCCTATCTGATCTGATGATCCGTGGTCGATTTATTTTTGTCGATTTATTAATCGGTTTTTAAGGTGAATTTATCGATATAGCATAAAAAGTAATTAAAAGATCCCAATCAAGATGATTAATAGATTATATCTGGCGTTATCATTTTTGCCATTAAGTAATGAAGGAATTAATATGCCACAAGAGCTAAAGCTCGATGGCATTGCCTTCCCCCTAGCGAACATTATGCGTTAATACGTTTATGCGATGGTGGTTGCCTATTACCAGGTGTATCTAGTACAAAGACCCCTATTTACTCATATAAATTAATTAACGTTCATAACGTTCATAACGTGCAATGTGCGTCTGTGCTATTAAATATATTTGCAGTACTGGTAAATGTAAATTTACGTAACGTTTGTTACGTAATGAACGAAGAAAACATCTTCACGTCACACGAAATTATCTCCCCATTCAAATTCCATTTCTAACTACATTTACATTTGACTTTTTATATCTAACTTTTATTTATATCAATCTACGTTATATAAATTTTTATTATATTATATTTTATATAAATTTTTTTATTCTGATTATATGTACAAACTTGCATGACTTGTATATCCATTAAGACTCTCCATTTTTACGGCTTCTACTTTGCTCGATTCGAGACTGCTCGCAATATCTCAGCTGTCGGGAGGACGAATCGCGATTTATGACAGAATCGCGTGTTTGTATTATTCGCGATGATGCCGAGGCATACCTCTCTGGCTTCGTGTACTGGATCAGATACTCAATAGAGAATCCGGAGAAAGCCGCTATTGTCCGTCTACGCGTATCTACCTAGTATCCAACATCCCTCTGCCTATTATTGATCGCGATACCAACATGCCGAAGGATTATGAACTGCACTGGCTGCTACCATGTCGCGCAGATATCCCTGATGTGTCTTGATAAACTGTCCTGTCGCATTAGCGGATGAATTTATCGGAAGCTATCGGAAAGCTAATTTTTCAATTGTCTCATTATAATCACTGACTTCGAATGTAAGGCTTAAAAAATTAAATTAACAATATTTATTATTAGTGACAAAATTATAAAGTTTGCGAGATAGAGGCTTCTTCATGGTACAAAGTTTGCAAAATTTGCACCTTTTGTAACTTCAAAACGTTAACAGAAATTAAAGCTGAGAAATATTTTAAAATATTTTTGATACGATTGTTATTTATTTATTATTTCTTTTATGCTCCTTTTTATCACTGTTTATTAATTTTAATCTTCAATTTACTCTTCAGCCTTTTATCATTCTTAAAGCTAGAAACAGATAAAAGTTAAATCGAGAGTTAATCTTCTATAGTAGAAGTGACCATTAGTGTTTAAGATTTTCAAGCTTGATTGATAGTGAACGGTCTTCGGAGGATGGGAGGTAACTTTATCTTAAAATCATGCTAGTGCACAATCCATCTCGAGTTCTGAATCCACATCAGCGCGAGTCCGACGCGGTATTATTAATCTGAACCGTTTCGCCCGATGAGGTGACAAGGGCAGACTGTAACCTGGGATTTTCTCCTTTCCTCCTTTGTCTCTTTGTATTTGCCGACCAGGCAGAAACTAATATGAGACACGCCGACATATTACTTCAACTTGGGCGCTGATTAGCACGCGGCCCGATGACAGACGCGTATGGAGAAATGCGGGAAATGCGAGGAAACGGAGATAAAGCCCAGGCGAGACCGTTGGGATTACACGGCGAGAGGATAAGCGTGAGGATGCGACTAAATTGTACGACTTTATGAAAACGCTGATTTCGGAGGAAATTAATTTTCCAACGTGAGAGCTTGGGGTTCGAAGAAAATTAATTTCCTCCCAATCGCTCGCACGGCGGACGTGAGCGTTGAATAAAATTGGTTTCGTACACTGGATTAAATTTCGGGACATCTTTTTCACGGAAATGCCTTTAACATTTTTAAATAAGCTGTAGCGTAGTATACGTCAAAGCTTCTTTTTTCCTAGATTGTGGTTATCCTTGATTCCACAAATTTGCATACATTTGGTTTCGCGGACGTTTCAATCTTGCGTTTTGCAGCGTGTTAAATTTCTTAACGCAGCCTTTCGGATTTCGCTTTGCCATTATGATTTTCACGTTAGTCCTTTACTTCGGCAGATCCTTGAATGCTTTGCGAGTACGGCGACTATTAATAGAAATGCGAATCATGAAGCGGGATCGTATGGGGCAAGGTTGTTAAAGGAGCGCCGACGCTACGACTTTGCGAAGTCAGTCGCGTGTGTACGCGCCTATTAATAAACAAAATTAATCGTATTTATACAGATGTAATGCTGCAAGGCATGCGGTATCGCATGTATGTTCAATCGATCCAACAGGACGTGACAGTTTGATCCGGAGTATCCGAAAATCGAGCTAATGAAATAATAATTTATGACACTCAAACGATAATTTAATTATTATCTAAAATTCCGATCCGTCTTCGATCTCTACCGTCTACAAAGAGACTCCACTAAGGAACATTTTCAAGGATTACTCCAGTTTCAGTTTCTACTAGAGTAGCGGAGAATCGTTTAGCAGTGGCGTTTCCGTCGACATTCTGATTTCGCGTGCGTATCGATTTTCCTTTTTCGGACTTGAAATCACGGCCGAGAGATTCCGGCCGAATTGCGGGCTTGATGCTGGACATCGTGCGGCTCGCCACGGCCCATGTCGAGGCCGAGGCCGACCGAGTGGTGCCGAGCCGGGTCGAGCAGAGCCGAGCGGAGACAAGCTTAACGAGCGGACGATGAGCACGTTCGTTTCGTTGCGGCGCGGCGCGGCGCGGCGCGGCGCGATTCCGCGCGGAGCCGCGATAAAGCCGACGACGAGCAGAGCGGATGCGCCGCATCGCAGCGGGTGACGCGACTGCAGCTGCACGCCCATTCAGTAGCGGACGTGCATTAGACTCCAAGGCGCATTCGATTTCGTCCGAAGCGGAAAGCGGAGTCACCCGGCGGACTCGCGGGAGAAAAGATGAGATTCGAGCGATCTCGACAGAGATATTAATCGACGGACTCTTAGAGACAGACTATTACTTTTGATACCTAACTGATCTCCGGTCTTATGTAACAACCAAAGATCTCGAGGAAACGAGAGAAATGGGTTTACATTAAGAAATAGTTTTTCTATTGTCAATAAGCATCTCCCTTCACAAAAGAGGTAATTCTTCTATTCATATAGTTCTAGAAGTTACGAGAGTTCTGAAAAAAGCTGCTGGAGAAAATGTCGTTAGGGGGGGGTTGAATTGAAGAGTCGGTTAACGACTCCTCTGTAATTACCCAAATACATATATTGCTTCTATACATTTAATATAGCCTGATTTCAACCAATTTCGCCGACTGAATTGCGTTCAATTTCGCCAGTATTCTAATTAGTGACCCAATACTCCAACATCGTAACCGACGATCCGTTCATTATCCGCTCCGGGATTCGGGTTCGCGTGTACCTCCGCCCCTGCTCGCTCACAAAGCCGGTGGTGGTTTACTCGCTCGGCGTCAACCCGCTTCTCTCCACCTGCCCCTTACCACGCACGTTCTCTCTTTCTCTCGCGCGCGCGAGACAGCGCGTTGTCCGCGCCGCGCGGAGTCGCGCGGAGACGCGCTGAGTCGAATCGAGTCGGGTCGAGCCGCGCCGAGCGGTGCCGAGCGGGACCGAGCGCCGGGGTCGAGCGGAGCCGAAGGCCTAGCGGTGGTCGCGACGCGCGCGAGTAGCACCACACCGCCGGAGCGTGTGTGTGCGTGCGTGCGCGTTCTCAGTCCGCTTGTACTCGCTCCGCTCCTCCTCGCACGTATTCTGCTCTGCTCAGCCGCGAGGAGCAGGCATCGAGAGTCTGTCTTCGCACGCGTCGCGATCAGCGTCAACGTTGTCATCGTCGTCGTCGTCGTCGTCGTCGTCGTCGTCGTCGTCGTCGTCGT